GCAAAGACTGGTTCATCCCAAAGATCCAGTCCCCCGGCACAAACAGAGTAATGTTGTGTATGCTGTTCAGTGTCAGGAGGGCTGTGATCAGTCTTACATCGGGGAAACAAAACAGCCACTGGCCAAAAGGATGGACCAGCACAGAAGATCAACATCATCAGGCCAGGACTCTGCGGTCTACACTCATCTCCAGGCCAGCGGTCACTCTTTCAGGGATGAAGATGTTCACATCCTGGACAGAGAGGAACGATGGTTTGAGAGAGGAGTAAAGGAGGCCATCTTTGTGAAAAGAAATCGTCCATCGTTAAACAGGGGTGGAGGCCTCCGGGTTCAACTTTCCCCCTCTTACAATGCTGTGATTGCTAGTATTACTCAGCCCTCTGTGAACAGTAAACAGCCATCAGTGTGCTAATGATCCATTGTTAGGCTGATGGTACTTCTTGAGCATGTGATCAGCTGGTTTTGGTTGTCAGCAGCAAAACTGGTTGATCCACTCTGAGACGTTGCTATTTAAGAGACTGAGCTGAATACAGCTCCTCAGACTGAGGAAGTCTCTCGGATGAGAGACGAAACGTTTCTACATTTTTTTTGTTGATTTGCTTTGTTTTTGTTTTTTTTGAATGTCCAGAGGACCAGATTTAACTTTTTTAGATATCATTGAGATATAACAGTTTTAATAATCTAGGGGGCGCACTTGAGTCAAAATTAAACAACAATACCAATGTGTCTAGAAATTATCACAAATGACGCACCAAAAATCTGGTACAGATAGGGTGATGCATCACAGAGATATAACTGTTGGAATAATCTAGGGGGCGCACTTGAGTCACATGTTAAACCACAATATCAATGTGTCTAGTCGTGCTCACTTATGACGCACAATAAATCTGGTGCAGATCGGATGATGTATCACTGAGATATAACTGTAGGAATAATGTAGGGGGCACTGTAGAGGCTATTGGCCACTTATCATGGATTCCTGTTCAAGGGGTGGATAATGATCGATCATACTGATTGTGGTGCACCTCGGCTCAAGTCTTTCGCTGCTCGGGCCTATTGTAATTGCTCTGTTCAGGCCCGAGCTGCAATTTTTTTGTCAAATGAATTGGCCTTTTGGGGCCTTAACATATCCCAAAACTCACCAAATTTGGCGGACACATAAGGACTGCTGAAAAAATTACGTATTTTAAGGGTGTCGCAAAAATCGCAACAGAAACGGCTCAAGAGTGCCACCTAGAAAATTTCAAAATATCCTCTGCATTAACCTTAGTTTGTCATAGAAGCATGAAATTTGGTACACTTGTCCAATTCCCCAAGATGCACAGAAAACCCACTGGCACCAATGTTGTATGATAAACAGGAAGGTGGCCATTTTGGAATGCTGTCCCAAATTTCACACCTTTTTGAAGGTTTACAGCCTTCGCATTTGAACAAACTCGTCCTAGGGCTTTCGCTCAATCGGTTTCAAACTTGGCCATTTTGTTCAAAAGGCATGGAAGATGAAAAGTTATCTAAACGGTTCGTTTCGGAGCATGCTGAAGGGGCGGGGCCAGACCTCAAAGTTTGACATCTCGCCATGAAAAACGAAATGCTAATAGCTCCTACAAGAAAACTGTCTAAGACATCAAACCTTCAGTGATTGATCCATATATGGGCCCCTGCAAGACTGAATGGTCAAATCATGACATCACTTAAGACACGCACCCTGACAACAGGAAGTGTAAAGTTTCACATTGAACGGTCCCTATCTGACCCCTGTAACCTGATCGGCATGATAGTGTGTCCAGTGTCCAAAAACAAGTTGATATAACTTGCTTTCCAACACTGACAGTTTTGGGTGGAGCATGTGGGCTTCGCGACATGGCGAAGTAAGACGTAACGCCGTCGCCATTAATTTGGTTCTAAAT